CTTCTTGACGGGAACTCCGACAGTGGGGAAGGAAGGTGGGTCATGGAATGGACATGAGCAACATCTCTCAAAGAACACCAGTTACGGAACAGGTAACTGTCTTTTCTTCTTCAAGGGCTTGCTCATGTCCATTCCGCATTAGGTGACTCCCAGCAGTTCCCGTGGAGGCGGGTAGGAGTTCACAGCTGCGCAGATTGTAATGCAGCTTTGTCGAACCCAGCGTCGCCTCTGGACTGCTGGGTGATGGCATAATGAGACATGAACGTATGGCCCGAGGACCATGTCGCATCTCTACAGATGTCCTGGATCAGGATGTGCGCCAGGAAGGCCGCGGAAGACACCTGTGCTCTAGATGAATGGGCCCTGACGATCGGTGGCAGCAGGACCTTTGCTAGCTCGTAACAGGTCTTTATGCAAGAGGTGATCCAGTTGGAAATCCTCTGCAAAGAAACCGGAAGGCCCTTCACCCTATCCGCTGTAGCGATGAAGAGCTGGGTTGATTTACGGAAAGGCTTGGTACGTGCCAAGTAAAAAGCCAAGGCCCTCCGGACGTCCAGACGCCTCTCCTCAGCAGTCCTGTGCGGCTTGGGACAGAACACTGGCAGGAATACATCCTGGTTCACGTGGAAGGAAGATATCACCTTCGACGGGAAGGCTGGGTGGAGCTGCAGCTGGACTTTATCCTTATAAAACACTGTGTAAGGCAGTTCCAAGATCAAGCCCTTAATCTCTGAGACTCATCTTGCCGACATCCCTGCCACCAGGAAAACTACCTTCCGGGACAAGTAAGAAAGAGAGCAGGAGCCCAGCAGCTCGAAAGGCAGGACGGTGAGCCTGAAGAGGACCAGGTTAAGGTCCCACTGTGGGACACGGGCCCGAACCTGTGGGTAAAGCCTCCCGAGGCCCCTCAGGAACCTGATAGTCATGTCAGGAGAAAAGACCGTCTGACCTTGGATCGGCTGGTGGAATGCAAAGATGGCCGCAAGGTGCACTCTGATGGAAGAATGCACCAGTTGGTTCCTGCGCTGGTTCCTGAGCTGCAGTATGCACTGAAGAATGCGAGGGAGAATTACTGCGCTCTGACACCCAGCGGGAAAGCCTTGTCCACTTGGCCAGGTAAATTAGTCTTCTGAATGGCTTCCTACTTCCCAGGAGGACCTGCTGGACCTCCTCTGAACAGGTACACTCCTCCGGGTTCAACCACGGAGCATCCACTCCAAGAGGTGTAGGGACGCGACGTTGGGGTGTAGGAGCCAACCGTGATTGCGTGACAGCAGGTCCAAACAGTAGGGAAGGTGCCAGGGAGGGGCCACCGCCATGTTCATGAGCGTGTGGAACCAGTGCTGGAGAGGGGAAACGTGGACACTTCCGCAATGAGGCCTGTCAGGGCCTGAAACCTGACAAACAGCAGGAATGCTCTCGCCCAGGTCGATTCAAGCCTGGCCCCAATTAATTCTATCCTTTGAACTGGAACTAACATGGACTTTTTGTGGTTGACCAGTAGTCCCAAAGAGCAGTGACATCACGTTGGACCTGAGCCTTGGAGTTGCCTTTGACCAGCCAATCATCGAGGTATGGGTAAATCTGGATGCCCTGACGCCTGTAAGAGCCCCTGAACCTCCTGCTCGAGAAGACTCCCTGAGAAGGGTCCCTGAAGTTGATGAAGGCCCACCTCTGTGTCCAGGCTTCCAGGCAAGGAACAGGGTGGGCTGCATCACTCGACATGAGCCGAGGCCCAACTTCCCGACGGGGGAGATGAGCTGCCTGGCGTGGGTCTTAGCTCACCCCAGCCCTGTCCTTCCCCTTGCGGGGAGTAGGAGACCATCCTCCACCGGCCTTCAACTTCTTGGCCGGAGCCATGGACGGAGATCGGTGCCGGCTTGTTGATGGCGCAGCACTATGCACCGATGCCGTGGCGCTGGGTGCCGAGTCGGACCTTTGCTCCGGGGCTAGAGGGAGCGCCGACTCCATCAGGAGCGCTCCGAGTCTGATCTCAAGCTCTTAGTCCTAGGTTTAAAGGACTTGCAGATTTGACGCTTATCACTTATGTGCCCTTCACCAAGGCACCTGAGACAGCTACTATGCAGATCGCTCACGGGCATGGGCCGTTTACAGCAATCGCAGGGGTTAAAGCCTGGGACTAAGAAAACTCTAAACTACTGCTAAGGGCTAACTAACTCAACTACTAACTATGTATACTAACTTTACAAGAACTCTAGTTCGTACAAACAAAGCCTAAGCAATGCTAGTAAGAGCAGCGAACGTTCCATGCACCGTCACTGGTGGCAAGAAGGAACTGAGGGTCGGGGAAGCCAGCGGTGCTCCTTATACTGCACCATGTGGGCGTCACTCCAGAGGGCAGCAGAGCCGCGCTCCTACGGTTACTGCTGAGAGAAAAACTTCCAGCACCAGTGCATGTGGCGAGCACACTCACCTAATGTGGAATAGATATGAGCAAGCACTCAAAGAAGAAGTGGTAGATTCTCCAAGAGGTCTTCAAATCAAGTCTAGATGCTTTTCTGGAAGATGTGTAACAACAAGTTGTGCTTTAGTCAAAACACAAATTACTGGGCTTAATACATAGGGGAACTGGATTAAATGTGATATGCAGGTCAGACTAGATGATTTAATGGTCCCTTCTGGCCTTATACATTGTGATTCTTACTCATTGAAGCTACTTAGCATTACATGATGTTTGCAAGAGGACAAGCCCAAGCATGTGTTATGCCATGGCTACTGTAATACAAAGTATCTTTGCTTTTGCAGAGATGTAGGTCAGAAACTTCAGGTTAGTTTAAAACATTGCTTTGTACTGCAAATAGTATTCCTAAACTCACATAGGTCATGTAATATGATGTCCACATATTGCAGCATAAGCTCTTCTTTACAAGCATACTGTAAAGCATGAGGGGGTTTGATGTATCCCAGTGTGCAAAGATTTTCGTTATGCATCAGGCCAATTTAAAATCAAACCAAAAGGAGAAACAAAACAGCTCTATTCCTTGGACTGTGAGCTTCTCAGGGCAGGGTCTGCCCTGATCAAATGTCTGAAAAATACCTAAGACATCCTAGGCACCCCTTAAGCAAACAATAATAATATCCACATTCCAAGGGAAGGCATACCGTGTTGCTGACATAAACCACAGGAACAGCCATAGATTGCAATATTCGCTTGAACTCCATGAATTTCATCCTGCCTGAATAGATTTTTTTTTTTTGGCAACAAAGAGCTAAAGAACACATTATCCATAAATCTATTTTAATTTGAAACAGAAGAGAATGCGTCGGGATTTTTTCCTTAACATGTATTTTAATAAATAAATAAATAAATAAATAAATAAAAATGGCTCTAATTCTTTGATACATTTAATCATTCTGTAAAATTCTAAATTTAAAATGAAATCATCATTTTATATTCAAAGAAGGTCAAGAGAACAGCACTGACATCACAGCGAACGGCAGCCACCGTTTAACGGTTACATCAGTGTTGCTTGTTGCTATGGTGCTTAACCGACTATTAATTTCTGAAAGAAGGTGATTATAAAGCAGCCATATGAACCTCAGTCAGATGACACCACTTCAATACCAAACACTGACATGTGTTACTCCTGTCTTCTGCAAGTTCATTTTATGAATCACCACTTTTGTGATGTTAATATTCCTTTCTAACTTTAAACTTACAGAACTCAACAAAAAGAAAGGCAAGGAGTTAAGGAAGAAGTAAAGGATTTTCATATTGTTTTTAAAAAAAGAATGCTTTCAGGGAGCTGATTTTTTTTTGTTTTGGTTTGGTTTTGCTATGCCCCAAAAGACCAAAAAGCATGTATTTCAACTGTTACAAGAATAAGAAGTAGTAACCAGATTAAGAGCCAAATTCTGCTCTTACACTGTTGTGTTAGCCCGAATCAAAGCAGCCATAATACCAATTTGACCATCCCTCAGGATTCATCTTATGTTATTGAATCTTCAGCTGGCTAGGAGACTGAAGCAACTCTGACACCCCTCAGAGGAGTGGGGAGGAGTGGGGCATCTTTGAGAGAAAGAGGGCATGACATGATTCCCAGCTGCAAGGAGAGCCAGTTGGATAATGGACAGCCAACATAAATTAGAGAAGATTACTTTCATATAGACCGAGGACAAGATTGGTGGCCAAATGGCCCCAGAGGCAGCTGGGTGTGAGCCAAAAGGGCCACCTATGTGTTTCTTTCCCTACGTTTCAACTGAGGGTCTAACCCATTGGTTTAGTTGGAGATGAACACGGTTTAAAAGTTAGGGCAGAATATGGTTCGAAAAACTTCGTTAGAGCCCAATCCTACAGTCCTTACTCACGCAAGTATTCCCATTTAAATCCAGGGGCTACTTCCGCAAGTAAGGAATAGTCATGGGTTTTGCACGATTGGGCCCATATATAGGCAGGTCAGTCTATAAAAATTAAGTGCAAAATGGTATTTGTATTTACCTACTTTAGTTGCTTCTGCAAAGCAATCTTCAGTTACAGCCACCCAAAAAGGTCACTCTTCTTACCCTGGAGACAAAGAGGATACCACAATGTCATTGGCAGATCAGTACTAGCGACAACATCTGAAGCATTGTCATTGTTACCACATTAGCAAGTACAAACATAAATAAAACAACAAATGAATTCAATTGTGTTTAATGGTGAATGACTTTCAGAGAGAGTTAATAAAAACAATAAAGTCACAGGACTGCTGCTTATCAGTACCAGCCAGCGTGAGGCTCTTCGGTTCAACAAGAACAATGTGGTGTTTGGGGGGGAGGGAAGGGAGGGAGAGGAAAAAAATCCCTGAAGATGAGACATCTTTGTTCTCTACCATAAACTTTCTTAATCTTGATGTCTATCAATTTAGTTTCACTTTGAATAATATATGACTCACGTCCTTTGTTTCAGAACCCAGACTTGCTTGAATAGGTCTCTGCTTAGTTAATTTTTGTGTGTGTGTTTGTAACCCCTGTAATTCTATTTATGTACTCTCTCTCTGCCCCTCCCCTCCCCTTTCCAAAAGATACAGTTCTAGAGCAGATGCATCATTCATGCTTAATTCAGAAAGTATTTTACTTGTATTTGGGGTGTTTGTGTCCTCTTTTTACACCAAGTGCAGAGGGTTAAGAAGAAAAATGGGTGTCAGTAAAAAATAGAGCAGAAAGGAAAAACAACAGCAAGTGTGTTACAACGTATATCGCTGCATCTTGTGTACTCTCTTATGCAAAACACTATGTAATCCTTTAAGAAACATGACAATCTGCCACTTTCTGTTCATGTAATTGGGATCAACATATGGTACAAGAGAAAAGAAAAACATTTGTTTATTAATTTAGATCAAGTTACTAACAGTGTTTAGAATTAATTCCATGTCAATTGACCAAAAGCGTTAATAGAATAAAAACTAACAATTTCACTGAAATGTTGATTTTCTAAACAGTGTGCCGAAGAACACACAAAATCTAATATGTTAATTCAGTAGAGACAGACAAATATGCAAGCATTTGCTGATCTACACAATAAAACATGAAACAGAAACTCAACGAAATTTTGGTGTGTGAAATAATAAGGCTGTATAAAACTTTGTTTCACAAAATTCACACAGTAAAGGTGGGGTCTCTTGGAAGTGTTTGTGAAACTGATCAACTGACAGAGTATGCCATTTCCAGGATCTGGTGCAGCTTTTTGCCATCCATTTCACTCTGGGGTAAAAATCAGAATTTTCACCAAAGCCTTTCAGAAGGAAATTCACTTATTTACCATTTATTTCGCAAAGACAGAATTTTCATAATTGCATGTCACCTTTTCACCTCTGAAAAATGACATTTTTAGTAAGACAAAAATGTTTAAAATCAAGATGAAAATGGAAAGTACTGTATTTTGATTTTTTGCTAATTTGCAAAAATTAGAAGATTTTTTTAATACACATCTAATGAGAAGTTTTACATAGTTCTAATAATAAAATATCGGAGACTAAGGTCCAAGACCTATAAGTGCTTGCAAGCAGTCCCACTGGCTTCAATGGGATTACTTCTGTAAGTAAAGATTTTCTAGATTGAGGCCTGAAAAGACAGGCACAATACTACTGTATAATAGGCAGGTCTCACTTTCACTACACTATGTACAACATCAAAACCTTGCAAGTAAAATACACGAACGCTGACATACTACTACTTACTGTTAGAGTCACAGCAATAAAGGTTTTTATTCCACTTTGCTGTAAATGTGATCTTGATCTAGGGTGACCAGATAGAAAATGTGAAAAATCAGGACAGGGGTGGGGGGTAATAGGCACCTATATAAGAAAAAGCCCTGAATATCAGGACCGTCCCTATAAAATCGGGACATCTGGTCACCCTATCTTGATCAGGTTCTTTAAATCTATTTTCATGTTTATCAGCTCTATTGTATCTATTTTCTGGATGGTTCAGGCAAACCTGTGGTATTACAGTTTGCAACACAGAATAGACTTGCAGGACACAAGTAGACCATATTAAAATTGAATTTTTAAAAAACCAAAGTAGCTGAACATGACTACTTCGAATAAAGTTCTCTCTTGGTAACGTCTCAAATCCTATATAACATTTGCCTATTTTTCTAAACACCTGCGGAGCATATTCAGTACACAGCTACCAAAAAAAACCCCAAACTAGTCTTTGCTCAAGGGAGGCGAGCATGGTCTAGCAACTTGAACACAGGGCTAGAAGCAAAGAGGATTATTTCAGTTCTACCAGGGAATCACTCACTGACTGGGTATGTGTTCTTGGGCTTAGGTCTAAGTTTTCCAAAAAACACAAGTTTGAGCTGCCTGAGAACCCCAAAACTTTGACATGCAAATTTAGGCCCCTATCCTGCAAACATCTGTACACATGAGTAACTTTATGTATGCAGGTAGTCGGACTGACTTTAATGGCACTGCAGACATGAGTAAAGTTACTAACAAGTGTAAGTATTTGCAGGATGGGGATTTTAGTAGACAGGATTGAAATGTTTGGCCTTAACCACTCTGTGTCTCAGTGTATCCACCGGTGAGACGGGGAGAATGCAGGAAACGCCTATCTTTGCAATGCACTGGGAGATCTTTGGCTAAACGTTATTTTTACTGTCATTTGTTAAAGCAGGACTGTTTGGGGGAGCAGATTGTCATGAAAACAAAACAAAAAATACAGTGCCGGCCATGATTCTCAATGGATTAAGAGCCTGATCCAGTGCCTACTGATGTCAGCGGAAAGCCTCCCCTTGATTTCAGTGGGACTTGGATTGGGTTCTGACTAGTCACACTGGCCCTGAGCCTGCTCCCACTGAAGTCAAAATAAGCTTTGCATTGAGCTCACAGTAGGATTGTACCCTACTAGCTTCATCCTGCAACCTTTACTCACGCGGGTAGTTTCTTCAGTGGGACTAATCGTCTCCGTAAGAGCGAGTTGTGTGAGTGCTGCAGGGGCCCAAATTGTGAGTGATGATTATAAAGCTATATTCAATCAATAATCTAAATCAGACATTGAAATCGAGGGGCCTAGGGAGGAAGATTGTACTAATTATACAGTAGTACTTTATAGTACTAGAGCATGTGTGAGGCATTATACAGAAGCCAAAATGTGATGAACAAAGTCCCTCCTCCCTCACATACTGGCTCCCTTGAGTAACTTTACACAGGTGAGTAGTATCTCAATGAGACTTCTCACTTGCAGAAAGTTGCTTACGGGCATAAGTGTTTGCAGGATCAGGGCCAACATCCCTGCCTTGAAGAGCCTACAAGGGATAAATATGATTAGAAACCAAAACCTCTGGGGAAAAACTCCATTTCAATACCTAGAAAGCAGTCTCTCTTTTTAAGACAGTTTCAGAAATCTGATTTAGTATTTATTGATGGATTGATTTTTGTTAGCGACAACTTTAGTTTCACAACTGAATATATTAACTGAACATTTCTGTTTTAATTATTTACTGCAAGGCTTCCTGGAAGCACTGAAATATAAACATCTCAGAACCACAATTGGCATTTTTTAAATTGTGAGGTCCAATAATGGAATAATACAGACTATTTTTTTCCTTCAAATCTAACCAAGTTATAGTTAAGTCTAGACAACTAAGCTGATATTTGCCTTCATTATCTGTTATCTTTATGATTTTATTTTGTTTTGGAGTGTGGGGGGGAGCTTAGTTTGAAAAAAAAATTAAGGGCTGCACAGAAGCCAAAAATGAATTAATGTACTTTTATATTCTATTTTGTTTATAGTTCAACTTTTTTTTAATTTAGAGAATCTGATGTGCATAATGATTTTGCTAAACAATGACTAGTAAAGAGGTGCTCATAGGCCTTCATCAGAAATGGCCTCTTAAACCAGAGTTGAAGTCTGAGAACCTAAAAATTTTAAAAAATTGAATAACTTAAAGACTACAGTATAGAAGTGGTTCCACAATAGTTATCAGGATGGTGATTTTTTTTATTCTGCGATATATATTGACTGTTATGAGATACTGTAGGCGCCATATTCTGACCCAGGTGTCATTATTACCTATTTGGAAAGTGAAATGTAGGTGGAAATGCAAAGTGTGGAAGGCAGGGTGCGTTTATTCACCTGGTCTTTGAAGAAGGGTAGATGGATTGTGCCACAGGCAAATGCATAGTGTTTGTATTTGCTGATGTGCTGCTGTTTGGTGGAAGAAGTGAGCTGCTCATATTGCACTTTGAGCATCCAGCAAATTATTAAAAATCAAAGCCCACATGTGGGCACTTTTTATTTATTCTAAAATTGAAATAAAATAAATATCATGAGGATAAAGCTAAGCCCTGAAAATTTCCTCCATTTAAAATAATAATATTACATTTCATTTCTATCACAATGGTGGAAAAGAAACACTCAGTTTTGATCAACATCCCTATACTAATCGCAGTTCATGTAATTTTTTTTAATCAATCATATATAATACAAGTACAGCTAACAGGCAAGTTAAGTACACATTGCTTACTGTACAAAATTTGAACTATGGCCATAAGTCTAGCATCTTTCACTGACAGACTGGTTATTTGACTCGTATAAATTACTTAGCATAAGAGAGCTACTAGCCCTTTTTGGTTTCTTCAGACTTAAGGACCATAACATGTTCCCAGAGAGTATCAAACCTGTCAAATGTCCAATCAAATGATAAGAGAACATCTTACAGAATGTTGAGAGAGCAAAATGATCAAACCTTACAGTGCATTTTAGCCTTGCAACATCTTCATGGTTTCTTAAAATGACTCTTCATACATTAGTTAATGCCAACCATTAACCATTTTGAGGCTGTGTTATAAGTCTCATCTTGAATCTTGACCTCACATATAACTGAAGTAGACATATGAAAGATTCCTCCCCAACCACTGTGGAACAGCCACTGACTCTGTAGTCTTACAGTGTTACTCTGGCAACATTTAAAGACAAAAAAGTGTTACTTTCAGTACCCACAACTGTGAACTCTACCTTTCAAAACTACACACTTCTGAACCCAAAACTACACAATTCTGAACACACTCCCACAAC